ATCTTATTGAACTATAATGGATCTCATAATCAAATGCACTTTTTAAGCCTCTTTTTTTTAAGTGACTAATACTAATGATTATAGCAAAATCACTTCCAAAGGTCAGAAGAAGCTTTAAAAAAAAATGGACCCCTGTACAAAACAACTGAATCTGCAAGTCACTGAATTGTTAATGTTGTACATAAGCATCAGAAAGACAAAAAATGAATGAATTATATCACAAGCAAGAATTTTGAAAAATTTACATGGCATAAACCTTGCCATTCCTTACTCAAGAATAATAACTTTAAAAAAAAAACCTCTCTTCTTATATGGTTTAAATGTACTTAAGTAAATGCAAGCAAGTAAACAGCTAAAAAGTTCATAATCCTAACAATCAACGTTTCTTTAAGCAGTGCTCTTATTCATCTGAAGAAAAATGGAAGAGTAGAAATCGTAATTCATGAATTATAATAACCTCATCCAAAAACTCAGGGTTTGCAGTAGAATTAGCATATAAGAGACCTTTTAAATGCTAAAAAAAATAGAACACATCTTATTATATAGTAATTTTCTATTACATATGGAATAAAGATATAGCATTTAAAGAAATGGAGATGAAATACTTAAGAAATTCACATCATTATTCCTTAACTAAGAATTCATTAAACAAATAAAATCATCCAAAAAAATCAGTTTTCACAAAAGGAAGGGAATTTATTCATGAACCTAAATCCCATGCTCTTCTTTGTTGTCCTCATCCACACCCCCACTGAGAGAGAGGTCACAAAAACAAGCTTATGACTCAAGGACTTAAGGCAAATCTGACTTTTGAAACAGTCCTATACATTTTCTGTAATGTTTGGCACTTTACTTATCTTCCTCTCATCAGCTGGAGCTGGCTGAGGGACAGCCACTCTACAGGTTGCAGAAGATTGGAGTATCTTTAGTTTGATTCATAGCCAGTACTTTTTCATCCATAAAAGAGAGAGAGAAAGAGTACAGCAAAGACAGTGGAAGTATTTCTGTAATGGGCTGGACCAATGCCTAGAGGGTAGGAGAAGCTTTATTGCCCTGGTACAACATTAAAACTTGCATTAACCACCTGGGCTCTGATAGTCCTGACCTGCTGTGAAGGACACAAAAAAATGATTTTCTAGAAGTACACTTTTAAAAAATTGAAAAAGAATACACAAATTTATGAGAAAAAATACTTTAGGATCACCATAAAGCAAACTGTAATGTCTTCTGAGAACTATCCCTGGTATAATCTGTCTTGAGGGTCAAGAGTTACAGCTATTTTCTCAGAGAATATTATAATTCTTATTTAGAGATCATAAACACCTCTAACCACAATCCAGTCACATAAATCACTGCAGCATACTTGAAGAGTTCATTAAAAATCCCTGTATTATTTGGAAAATGACATTTAAACTTAGGGCCAAAGGCAAATCCTTAACATTTATCTTTTGAATCAAAATGAGTATTTGTGATAGAATGAATTTGAGTATATAGGGAGAGGAATCTTCATAAGCTATATATTTTAAACATTTATATTATATAATGCATTTCATAATAGTTTCTCATATAAGACTTTATACTATTTTATGCATGCATATTTACAAGAAAAGGTTTGCCTATTTAATCTCTGCTTTACATTTTGAGATTCCTGCTTTATGAATTGAGGCTATAGTACCATCTGCCTGACATTCTACTGGTTGAACTTTTCCATCGCATTTTATAAATAGTAGAGAATTCTCTAGTATTTCTTAAAAGACTCTTTTTCTCCATGGCACTCAAGGTGGATCCACACAGATTTATTATTAAGAAAGAAAATAAAGCAAATGCTTTTGCAGTCTAAACTCTCTATTGTCCAAGTTTATGTTTTTTAGAGTAGAACCTTAAGGCAGAAAAAGGGAAATTATGTGGCCTAAATTATACATACACAAATATACATACATATATAACATATATATATTTTAGTAAGACTTTTGTATATTATCCTTTGGCCAAAATTTTGCTAAATGCAGAATTAGTGTAGACACAGATTTACATCTTGATCTACATATATATATAATATATATATGTATGTATGTATATATGTGTGTGTATATACTCACACACACATGCACACATATTATATATACATACACACCTATATGTATGTATAGATATATAATAACTATAATTGCTATTTAAAAGTAAAATCAACAGGAAACCAGTGGCACTGTAACCTAAGGGATAGCACCTAGTAATTTTTGTTTTGATACTGTTTTCCAGGGAGGTGTATTTTTTAGCACTCATCTTACTACCTGAAAACCTGGAAAGCAGTTTGTGGGAATTGCTTGGGTAGCAATGTTTTGACAATGGCTGTGTCCCTCTCCCTTTCACAAGTGTCACAGACTCACTTCATGCTAAAACCTAATTCTTTAGACAATATTCCACAGTCTCATTATCGGGCACTCCGAGACAGTAACATAACAGACATTGGGGTTCCCTTTGGGACTTTAAATCACCAATTAGCATGAACCATCTATAGAGACAGACATAATTGGGATTCCAAAGGGAGACCAGTATGTGTGATGAACACCCTTCTCAAAACAGCAAAAGGTTTCATAGGTCAATTTGTAATGATGATTTTCCTTTCTTTAGAAGCCTCTGTTCCTTAGTAGCCTGACATCTTTTGCAAGTGATAAATATTAGCACTACATCCAGAGCTGATAAGCTCCTGAAGGTCTTGTCCCAATGTAGCTTTTCAGATGGCCTTTTCCTTATCTGACAGAGAAGGAATAGGGCACATTCTTTGACTTTAGAAAAGCCCCTAAAAGAGGGGAGGGAGGGGCTACAACAGAAAATTTCTCTTTCTCTCTCTCTCTCTCTCTCTCTCTCTCTCTCTCTCTCTCTCTCTCTCTCTCTCTGTTTCTGCTCTCTCTGTCTCCCCCTCCTCCCTCCCTTTCTCTCTACACTTGTTTCTCCTCCCTCCTTTCTCTACACTCACTCCCTTTACTTGATTCTCCTTCTTCCCCTAACTCTCTCTTCTCCTTTTCTTCCTTTCCCTCTCATCTCAAGGAAGCACAAGCATCTTATTATCGCCCTTTGCATTTTTAAAGTCATTTTAAAAAATACTTTCGCAATCGTTCTGGTATGTAGCTCTCTGTATATCTCAGGAGTTCAAAGCTCAGCCCCTCGTGTCCTTCAGAACGTTGCCAGTACCATCTACATCAGAAGGGGGCATAATCACTCCTCCTAACCCGTGGCTGGCAAATGCAGCAGCGGGAACGCGAAAAGCTAAGCCAGACATTTCCTTCCTCCTACCCCTGCACACCTGCTTGCCTGCCACACTCACAGAACTGCTCCTGATAGGATGGGGGGAAATCTACACTGGGTGTCGGATAATCTTCAGTCTTTCCCATATACCTAGAAAACTTAAACCATCTTAGTATGCCTTTGTGTTTTCCTTGCATGCCAACAATATTGGTTTTATTTTTCCTTTAGTTTCCAATACAACATAATAACCCCGCCCCATTCCCCGCCCCTTTTCTCCGTTTATTCGTTTAGCAAAGAAATAAACACTTAGGGACATTTTGGACTAAGGTTGTGGAGATATTCATTCAGAAGTGGGAAGTTTCAGAACTGTCAGGCGCACTGTTGAAATCTCGAAACCGCCTGTTCCAATATAATAGCCCCTTCTCCACAGTCGGTATTGTTCCTCCCTTCCTACTCCAGGCTGCTTCTGTTGCTGTCTCCATTGGTATCAGTCATTGTCTGCCCCAGCCTAGTTTTTTTTTTCTCTCTGCCTCATTGCCCTCGTCCCTGTGTATTTTTTCTATGTATTTCCTCTGTCATTAATTCTGTTTCTTTCTCCATCCATTCCCTTCTAAGTACTGTATATTTTCTTTCTCCTTCTTAGCCTTTGCTTATCTTTCTGTCTTCCACCTAACTCCCTCCCCTTTGCCGCCCCTGCCCCCATCTGTGCCCTTATTACTTCCCTCCAGTCTTTCCACATAATCACTTTATTAGTTGAAAATCCTCAACATCTTTATTGCTTCTCCGAGTCAAGGGACATGTACCTCTAAAAAGAACCACAGGAATTTCAGCACAAAGTTTGTTGTTACTGAGCTCTATCTCCATATATATCTATATCTATATCTATATCTATATCTATATCTATATCTATATCTATATCTATATCTATATCTATATCTATATCTATATCTATATCTATATCTATATCTATATCTATATCTATATCTATATCTATGTAGATAGATATAGATATAGATATAGATATAGATATAGATATAGATATAGATATAGATATAGATATAGATATAGATATAGATATAGATATAGATATAGATATGTGTGTATATGGCCATAAGCGTATGTCCACATGTGATATATATGTAATATGTCTGTGTTTACACATGTAGGTTATATTTCCACTTGAAATGCCCAGTGGGGCTGAAAGAGGAAGTGTACTTAAAGGGCATTTCAGGATTCACTTGAAAGAAGACAAGAGGCTGGTGGTAAATACACAAGACATATCAGCATGTTTATGCATCACATATATTAATGGCATTGAACATTCTATGGCGGGCTTCAAGCACATCATCCCCCTCTACATCTAAATAAAGAATTGAATTAATTTCTTTAACATAAAATTCCAACTGGGAGGTCCAAACTAGCAAAGACCCTCTTCTCTAAGAAGAGGAAGTACCGACAGCAGGTTCCCGGTCTGGCTTGCCACCCACACCCCGAGCTGCTGAGCTTCCCTTCTTGCAGAGCCGGGACTAGCGCTAGGCTCCCATCCCAGCCAAGCAACAAGCGGACAGCCCGAGAGGACTCTTGGCAACTGCTCTCCCCCTCCCCCGACCACTTCGCCACCTTTTAGTCTCTCAGCTCCTCCAATTCCTTCGCTCGCGCTGATCAAACCTCTCCTGTAACAGCACAAGTAGCAGACGGCAGATGATAAAGAGAAAAGCAGGTAGAAAAGAAAAGGATGAAGGAGAATAACTCACCCCCAGCTTCCTACTGCGGATTTTCACATAGCCCTGCTTGACGATATCGTTAAAGTTGGAGGCCATGGCTACCGCTTTGTCGCTTTTCTTCACCTTCCTCTTCCTATCCCCGATGTCCAGATCCTTCCTCCTCTTCTTCCTCCTCCTTTAGGGTGCCCGTGGCAGGCTGATTGGGAAGCTCTAGCATCCAGGCAGTAAAGGAACAGCAGCCAACGCGCTGCTGCTTTCCTGCTCCTGCTGAGTATGTGTAGTCAATGCAGCCAGTGGCTCCGCTGATCTCTCCCCTCCCACAGGGCGCTGCTGCCGCCACCACCAGGGCTGTTGCTACTCCTTAGTCCAGTAGCCCCAGAAGCTCAGCCAGCAGCAACAGCCGAAAGGAAGGAGGTGGAGACAGCGGAGGCAGCTAAGCGTCTGGGTGTCTCTACCCCAGCTTTAACCACGACAGTGAAAGGATGGGGGAAATGGAGCGGAGGGGAACGCGTCCTCCACCCCTTTCGTTCTTCACCTTCTCCACGTCTTCAGTAACCGCTGCCGCCGCCGCCGCGGGGAGAGAGAGCGTTTCTGCCTGCTCTTCCCCCAGCTGTTTGCTCCCCCCTCTGCTGTCGCCGCCCCGGGCACCCACGGGCTCTCAGCCTCACTCAGCAGCTCCACAGCTGGCTGGACCGCACCATCCCCGCTCCCCTGTGAGGGGAGCGAAGAAATGGGAGGGTGCGGGAAAGACAGCCCTCTTCCCAGCCTTCTCTTGCTGTCTTCTCCTGTCACTGCTGGTTACTGGAAAGATGCTCAGAAGACGCTGCCTCACACCACTACTACCCCCGGACTCCTAACTCTTGTCTTGCTCACCCCACGATTCTCCTTAAGTATAAATCTCTCTCTGCCTATCGTCACCCTCTTGATTCTATTGCTATCTCTGCTCGAGGCTTCCTAAGAAAAACTGTAACTCTTCCAGAGAATTTTAATCTCAACTCGTACACTTAGATCCATGGAAGCTGTAAGAGCAATACTTCTACCAAAAGAGGCGAATACAAGAGATGGTTTATTTGAACAACACCAACACCATTTCTGTTCCATTTAGATTTGATTTTAACTGCAAGCTAAATGCCAACTTTTTTAAATCAGAAAAACAACTCCCAAACAACCACCAAAAAACCAAAAACAAACAAAAAAATAATAACCATAAAAACAATCACAACTAGGAGTCGAGGAGTCTTTCATGGTCCACACAAAGAGAAATCATGCTTATGTGTTTAATCAGAATGCTCCTTAAGCGAATGATCCAAAATGGCAAAAGATCCCAAGAACGACTAGAGATGATCGATTTTTATCTGTTTCCTTAAATTAACTACGTTTCCAAGGATCTCTGGTTTTAAAACTCTGTCCGGAATTAGAAAATAAGGCAACTAAAAGTAAATAGGCTACTTTCCTAAGAGCTTGTACCTAAAAACAAAACAAAACAAAACAAAAAAACAAAACAAAGCTTGAACTTTCTCCTTTTTAAATGGCAACATGAAATTTAAGGTTTCTTTTTTCTTTTTTTAAGTTTTATTTTGCATATTCAAAACAAAAAAAAATTGTTTTTTCGTTGAAATAAGTTCTTCCTTTTTTACTATAAACAAGAAGATGTTAACTATCTGAGGTTCATGCAAAAGTACTTAAAGTAAAATAATATTTTATGAAATATTGTTCATCTACCCTTTCAGTTTAGTAGGAATTCCTTTACTAGAGGTAAATGACATTTGGAACACTTGGATAGGTTTTTGCTTCTTGCTATAAAGAGTGTTTTTCCCCAAATTCTCTTTTCAGAGGTTGCAAAATAACATTTGAGGAAAATTCTTAAAGGAGGAAGACTACGAAGTTTAGACGGTAGGGCAAAATACTAAGGTCTGGCAATACTATTTTAATTACTTACCTATACCTATCCATCCATCCATTCAGCCAGCCAGCCAACCAGCCAGCCACCCACCCATCTATCCATCCATCTGTCTATCTATCTACCTATATATGTTCTCTATCTCCAGCCATTTGGTAATTATTCCACTATATTGTACTGCCTCACCGTCGTTTACAGGTATCCTGTGTGCCTGAAGTCTGAACATGTGGACTGCAATTCCGACAAAGCTGGTGAGACATAATGTGAGTTGCGTGGGAAGGTGCTTAAGATATGGGCCCTGGGACATACTGTATCTCTTCTAAGGACCCACCTAGGTAGGCTTCTTATTAGAATGTATACCTCCATGGAACAACTTATGTATCAATCACTCCAACTAAAAAAGGCCATAAATCAATGAATGAAAGGGTTATTTTCCCCTTTTCAACAGTAGAGAGATGATACACACCAAACAAATCTGAATGCTTACATTGTTTTAAAAATCCATCTTTTTTTGTTGTTTTGGTTTGGCCATTGGACTATATCTAAATTCTATAGTAACAACAGTAGCTGAAAACATTTACTGAGCATTTAACTATTGTGGAAAATACATTAAGAGCTGAAAGTATTAGAGTTTCTGTCCTCAGAGAACTTACAGCTTACTTGGACAGATCAGAGATATCTGGTACATGGAAGAGTAAATGATAATAGAAAGTACTCATTAGTAAGCCCTGACAGTGTTGTAAAGAATATATTGGAGACAGTTAGGGGAGTAGAAACGATTCATTGTAATCTGTGAAGTAGGTGCTTGTAGTATGGAATGGAACAGAATGAAAATTATTTTTGATGGGCTAGGAAGGCTTTTCAGGAGAAAATGGACAGGAAATTGGTGATTTGTCCACATTTTTTAAAACAATATTATTTTTGACAGAGATATGAGAAAATATAAAAAAAATTCAAAAGTGGAAAGGAATATCACAAAACTCTTATCTCCAGAGGTATTATGAAATTAACTGCTTATAAAGACATAAAAAGGTTATATAGTCCCTTAGTAAATAATTTTGAGGCAATAATTATAAGAATTGTTTTATTGAAAATTCTTATAATCTTGTCAGGGGTAGAATTAAACTCATTTTTGACTCACTGTATGATAGATTGTTTTTCTTTTTAACCAAATATGGAAGTTGTATTTACTTCAATAGTATTTAAGAATTCATATAATAAGCTGACAGATCATGGAGTGGTTTTGTACTTAGCTTGCTAGACACAAGATCATTGATATCTATCACTCTGGTGCTTTAAAATAACACTGTGAAATACTCTTAAAAACTGACTATTGTTAATGGATAATTATCAGGAAAAAAAAGTATGATCTTATAAATGGTACAGGCAGTTTTTCACTTTTCATTTTTTAAGAAGCAAAGAGGTAAGTGATTATGTAATTGTTTAGATTAAAAGGGAAGGGAAAAAGGCTAACTCTTTTTTAAACCAGAGTTGGTTATATTTCTCAGTCTTATTCCTAATTGCTGCTAAAAAGTAAGTAGAAAGAAAAAAAAGAATATAAAACTTAGATGACTGAATAAAATATGAAACACTGGAAAGCAGTGTTATTTATGGCATATAGTCAGTCATTATTTAGGTTAATAGTCATTAACATTCCTATTTTTTTATTTTTGCTATATAGTTACAAGTCAAGAGAATTGAATGCTAAAGAAAATAAACAAGAAACTGAAGTCAGTTGAAATGAAAATTTCTCCTCTTTTTTTTTTTATTCCAGGGTCATTTCAATTCAGAGTAGACATTAACTTAGAACTATTCCAAAGTCATTAAATTTGATATTTCTATATGGTGTGAATACATATATTTCAACACTAATTACTAAAATCTGGAGATTTTTCAATCTTTGATGCTTGAAATGGTGCCCACATAATGAAATTACAATTGTTTTTAATTACTAAAGTATAGTATTATATCTTTTAAAGAGTAGAAATAAAAGTGATGATAAGATAGAGGAAAGTTGCCACTCATTTAATAAGCAGGGAGCACCTGAGTGGGAAAACAATAATAGCAACAGCAACAAAACAAAAGACACAAACCTTGACACAAGATTAATAGGATAAGCTCATGTATGAAAGACCCATGAATTCTGAGAAGCAATATCTCATCAGAAGAATTTTATTACCTTAAAACAAAGTTCTGTCTTAATAGCTTTAAAAAAACACAAAAATTAACAGTTTAATTTTATATGTGGTACTCAGCTTCTCTAAACAAAATTATCTTCAGTTTCATATTGTGTCCGCAGTTTTGCAAAGACATCTTTGTTGCCCAATGATTCTCATTTCTAGAAAAGTTTCCTAGTGTGTCCCTATCAAAATGGCCAATAATTTTATTTTTATATATATACATATGCATGTACATATATATGTATGTGTGTGTAGATATATTATATATGTGTAATATATTTATAATATGTAGAGCAAAAGTTCTTAATTTTTTTTGTCATGGACCCTTTAGTATAATGTTAAATGTGAAAAGAAAATACATAGGATTACAAAGGGAACCAATTATATTTAACACAGTTATCAAAGTAAAAGGGAACATGCTCAAATATTCTAAATTGGAAGCACCCTGCTTCTGGGAGGAGATGTACTGAGTTCTCCTACCACGTGGGTAAAAGTAGCCTCCTCAATTGATTATGCCTGGAACAGGCTTTGTCTTTAAAATCTGCAGACTAGGAAAATCTCCCTCTGTTTTTGTTGCTGTGTCCAGAGGGTGAAAATAACACACACACAGTTACCATACAGTACACTCAAGATGAGTGTGACATGAATGGAAAGGAGGAAACCTTGATTCTCTCATTTTAGGTCCAATGGTTTAGGATATTCTCTGCTTCTGTTCTATTTCTCCTTAGGTCCCTTTACCAGAGAATAAATTTGTAAGGGGCTGGGGATTATGCTTCCCATTTGTTATGGATTACGTTTGTGTATATATGTATGTATATGTTATATATGTATGCATACATACATATGTATATATGTAATATATGCATATGCATACATATATTTGTACATATACACTATATATATATATATATATATATATTTAATATTCATTTATAAAAGCTAATTTACCTGTTAGTGGGTAAATGGAACTAGGGTGCAGGGAACCTCCAGTCCTACAGTTAGAAGGCTATCATTGATGGGAGATGTCACCATTGGCAGAGAGTTTAACAACTGCCCATTCCTCTTATAGTACCAGAGAACTCTGAGAGAGGGGAGAAATGTAACATATGTGGCCTTAAGGTAGTAGGGGCCAGGTTAATCAGTGTTATATCAAAACACTAAAAGTTTCAATTTCATGGCCCTTCTGATATCTATCACAAATCCTTTACCTAGAGAAATGCTTTCAAAATATTGGGTAAATCCTTTGGGAAAAATCTCTGAAATAAGACTGAAAATAATTTTATAGCATAAATATTTGTCATATCAAGGAATATCCAGAAAAAATGAGATCACAGGTATATTTACATATATATGTCTATATACACACACACACACACACATTTTGGTTGAAACTAGAATTCTGTTCTAATACATTATCTCTATAATTATGAAAGGTTAAAATTTAGAAAACATTGAAGAGAAGGGGAAAGGAACATTTTTATTTATTATCTCTCACTGTTCAGCTGCGTCAAAACTTATTGAAAATATTAATGCAGAATACTGAGATAACTTTTCTGGACATAACACATAAGAAAGGTCCAACAGACGATTCTGAATATTATTTTTTCAATAGACTTTTAAAAAGTCATAATGTTACAAGAAAAGTAATGGTACCTATCTCCCTTTCTCTATATGTGTCAACAATTTGATTCATGAATAGCGAGTATTAGTGGCATATTGATACCT